CGTCGATTCGGAGGCACAGGGATCAAAGTTAAATTACTCCCGTTAAATCAACCACCAGAACCATTGCGGTCCTTGCTTTACGGTGACTAAACAGAATGTGGACCAATGATACTCACCAGTTTGTAAATTGCCACCAACTATACTATACAGATTCAAGGACGATTCACTTTCGAGCCGCAAGGACTTCTTCTCGGTATAACGCTTTCGTCAGGTTATTTAAGACGGCAATGGGGATATGCCTTCTGTCGACCACAAAACCAAACAAACTTGAGTTGCTGGCGAAAACGTTGGACAAAATATTTCAATTATAAAATTAATTTTGGGCGGGACGAAGTTCGCCGGGTCTGCTAGTTAACTATAACTATAATCAACAGCAAAGCTATAATTCATATAGCTGCGGACATTTATGTTTAAAATTCTTATTGTCAAAATAAATAAGTAATTATAATTTATTTCATTTTAAATTTAATTTTATTTGTTATCATCAACACATCAGACCTTTCTGGAACCGGCATAAATATACTACTACCGTGCTAAATGTCCGCATATATACGATCTACTTTAAAGCGTTTTTAAGTCGCTGTTTTTTCTTTTTTTATAAATTTTGTTCTTTCCCTCCACTTTCTAACTCTTCACTAGAGTACATATATATTTTACTGTTTCATACGCTTAACGTATTCATCATAAACAGCATTCTTCTTCATATGTTGGTTACCATGGTGCAACAAGAATAACATAAAAAGGTTAACAATTTTAACTTAAACTATAAAAATCTTACATCATTCACAAAAAACTTTGTACTGAAGATATTGTCAGTATAAAATTTTGTTTTTTTTTTGAAGATTTTTAATAAAAAGCAGCCCAAAAAATCTAAGCCAAGTGGAAGTAATCAGTGATTGTTAAAGATATTCATGCTCACTAGCAAAGTGTATTAAACAAGGTGTGATTGACAACTCAGGTAGGCTCTCTTTTAAGGTACTATTATGCCAAAAAATATAAACAATCGATTCAAAATTCATAAACATTTTTTTCAATTTGACTATAGGATGGTTCTTCTGAGAGAAATGTCCAATTCAATCACACTTTGTTGAATACATTTTGCTCACTAGTACACAAGCAAGCCAAGCAATTGTGAAAGAGTCAAGGTTCATAGAATACAAGGTTACGACATCAGCCATGGCCGCCATCTTGATGACGTAGATGGCTCAGTTTTTGGAGTTGCCAGATTCCTAAAAAATTATCTTATCAAAATACACTATTTTAGTCAAAAATACATCAAGTTTTATTTCAAATATGTGTAACCCTGATATTTACCGTTTGACAATTTGCGTTGAAGTTTGTGCTTTTTCTGCGTCTTTGAGTTTATTTAAATTATTAAAAATTTAAGGGCGCTGTTTTTGATTGTAAAAATTACACTAAAAAAGGTAATTTAGGTTTTACCGTATGTCTAAAGATGAATTGCAATTTCGGTAGCGAAATTTTACCAGTGTTATGAACGCTTTTTATTTAAAAATGCGCGAGTGCGTTCTGCTCACTTTCAAAAATAAAATCACCAGCAAATTTCAATTTGCATTCGATTTACATTTCAGTTGTCACTGTTATTATGTTAATCCGGTTTCATGTGAAGTTATAACATTTTATGTTTTTATAATAAGCTTTACCACGATTTTATATCAAAAATGCCCATTTGATTAGGATTCCTAAATTATGCTATACGGCAGCTATATTTTTTGCGTTTTGTGTACTCTCCTTCTTCGTAAAATATTTCAGCCAATCAGAACTCCCTTCGCAACTACGTCATTGGAGGAAAACAAATTTTTGACAGCACCATGTCGTAACCTTCTATTCTATGAACCTTGTGAAAGAGTAGTACTTTTTGTGAGAACAAGTTGGAGTGAACAATGGGGTGATTCACGTGATACCGTGCCACGATCCAGAAAATAAAGGTCGCGCCATTCGCGGGCCGCTAACCCTCTCTTCGTCGATTTGACAGCATCCACCTAATCGCTGTAGTCATAAAATACTTTCGTTTACATTCCCTGTTGCCAACTTCATGCTTTTCGCACCAAATTTAGTGGGTATTCAAAACGCGAAAATTTTTGAGTTTGGTGCTTGGCGCGTTTTTGGTGCTTTTGTTTTTAGTTTGAAGACACCAAATTAGAAAATCTTAAACAAATGGAAGCAAAATTTATAGCAATCGTAAGTGTGGTAAGCAACTTTACAAAAATTTAAACAAAATCATGGCACAGTGACAATCATAAGCGACAACAAAATATGTGGCAGCACTTTCAATTATGCCACAAGAAATCAACCGTCGTGTAAGAAACATTGATTTTTATTAAATTGAATCGGCATCCTTACAATAAAATTATGTATGCATATAATGTCTATAAAATACACCAATAAAAATTTGGTGCTTTTTCAAATTCAAAACTTGGCAATACTGCCTTTTGTCCGATGCTTCCTCTTTTTCTTGTCGAGTTCGTCTTGCTCTCTCATTCTGGTATTTATTGACGTCACGGCCAGTTGCTCTCAGCTCGATTGGCGCAATCTTGTATTCTATCATTCTTGATGCAGTGCAATAACGCCATAGGAAATAACCCCATATGGCTTTATTTCACTTCACATGGGAAAATAAGGCCATATGGCTTTATTTCCATAGGGAAAGTGAAATAAAGCCATAAGCAAATTTTACATATGAGAAATAAAACCTTACGATCTTATTTCAATACAAAACGTAAATGTTGTCTCTTTAGCGGCGGTCGGCGTTGGCTCGCCACCCCGCGCAGTGCTCGCGTCACGCGTCCGGACGCGCCGCGCGGCCCTTGTATAAAATTGTTGCTTTGTTCATTCTTCTTGCTTTTTATGACATACATATGTACATATATGAGGTTTTCTTTTAAAGCAGTAAGATATATTTATATATCTATATATCGTCGTTTAAAGTAAAAAACCGCGTATCAACAAGTATGCTTAACAACTTTTCTCACTAAATCAGCAATATATGAATGA